TCAATTCAAAACCTTTATTGGCATGGATCAGAATCATAAACAGTCACCCGTCAGTTCATAATGCATGGATTCTAACTGGCACTAGTGACAGCAAGCATAGAATAGGAGATGTAATTACTCCAACTTGTTTCATGACGGGTACAAGGGTAAGATCTTGGACCTATTGCACTGAACAATGAATTGCACCGAACAATGAATTCAGCTTTTCAAACAAGGCTTGAAGGGGAAGTTGCTCACCTCCCTCCCAATCCCCTTTTAGACCAAGGAGCTCCCAACTCTGATAGAGGACTACGTATTTCCTCTGCATGTTTCTTCCTGTAGAAAAAAAATTCAGAGACTGACTACCTACCACTGTTTACATCTCATCAAGGGGGTTCCCAAAAGGTTTAGACTCTGCAGGCGATGGGAACAGAGACATGTGCAAAGACCATTCTTAAAAAGGCTGTCTGTTATATATTGCTCTCTCGCTCTCTGATGTCTCCGTCCGCCTCAGAAGGCACCGCCCTGACCTTGGAAACTCTCAATTGGGCACTTAACCCTGCCCCAAACACTCCCTCATATAGCATGAGGGTTCTACCTTATTATCAGTCTTCCTTGTTCCTTAACTCTCAATGCTGGCGTGCCCGACAGTTCATCTTCTGCTTTCCGGGTGCACAGAGCGAAGAATAAGTGGGCTTGCTGGCCACGTAGACTTTGGAGTTTACCAAGAAATGAAAAATGCAAGGGTTTTTTCACCACCAAACAATCCTTAAAGAATGTGCAGAGCAGGAGCTGACCTGGGTAGCCCAGGCAAGCCCGATCTCATCAGATCTCGGAAGCTAAGCAGGGCCGACCCTGGCAAGTCCTTGGATGGGAGACCTCCAAGGAATCCCAGGGCTGGGAGGACAGAGGCAGCCTATCAAGCCACCTCTTTGAAATGTCCTAGCTAGCCCTACAAGGGGTCGCCTGAAGTCCCCATGACTTCCAGGCTCGCAAATACACACGCATACACACACACACACACACACACACACACATAAATACTCACCCACACACAAAAAGAAGAATGTGCAGAGCAGGACACTTCCGCATATCTTCAGTACAAGAGGATGATGCTCACTTTGAAACCATGAACTGGACCCTGATCAAGTATAAATGTCCTTTATTTTCTAAAGAGAGATGTCTAAATAGCCCATTAATTAGACAACTGACCTTGGAAACAAATGCTGAGATGCCCTGTTGGATTAGACCAGCGGTCCATCTGGTCTACTATATGAGTACACAGGATATAGCTAAGAGTCCCTGTTTCCATTTATGCACTCAAGAGCAACAAAACCTCCCCTTTCCCCCTTAACTCCAACATGACCTCTGTAACAGATCTAAGGCACAGCAAGGGATATAGAATGCTTTTCAGAAGGAGAACAGCATCAAATTGTTGGTGATATAAAGATAAGGACAAAGTTGAGTGTATGGGAAAATCTAGTCGGAACTGAACATTATTGTAAAGAATATTATATGTCACCAGGAAAAGTTAAACATTCAGAGAAAGTGTCTGACACAACTCTCACTTTCTTTTACGTCTACTGTAGGCAAATGATCGGGGAAGACTCACATACAAACAGCCCTCATTCAAGAAACTATCTTGACTGCAAACCAAACTCCAATGCGAAGTCTCCACGGATGCCCCCTCCTTACCCACTTACCACAGAAGTTTCAGAACTTAATGCTTTTGAAATAAGAACTTTCTATATGCACTACAAAATCTGCAAAGTGCTCTATAAAACCAGGGCACTAAGTGATCCTAGCCCAGTGGTGCCATCGCCCCAGCCAGGCCCATACTATCATTAAAGTGTCGAATTCTCTGCCAAATAGTTTTAAGTAAATAAAAGCATTTCGGATTGCTTTCCTTACTTTGTTTGGATCATCTTAAGTTAATGTATGAGTTGTTTTTTTCTAAAGTAAAACCTCAGTATTCAGGTCAAATGGCCGTGTTGGCACTTTGCAATAAATAAGTGGGTTTTGGGTCGCAGTTTGGGCACTCGGTCTCTAAAAGGTTCGCCATCACTGCCCTAGCCCATTAGCACGTTTCTAGTTCTCCACTGAACACTTTTAGTACTGATCAATTAGCCAGAATAACTACCAGCCCCAGGAATTTGCATTCCATTGTCCTCATGTCACAGTAACAGTTAATGGCTGACATAGAAACTATGCTGCTCCCCCAGCTAGGATATTGTGGCATCTGTGTGCCCTGGCAGGAGAGAGAAAACTCGAGATCCAAGAGCAGGCACAGTAACCAAGATGGGTTCCCATGCCAAAGAAACACAGTGCTGCACTACAGTGGGCTATAATGTTTGCCTTTTCTTTCTTCCGCCGGCAGATGAAGAAAACGTCCTCACACACAACACTGGAGAGGGGAAAAAGAGGGAAAGGACATCTGCAGCAAAGGGTGGGGGGTGAGGCCCCACATCCTCATTTACAAGGCCAGATTACATCTCACACTTAAGTACATATGAAAAGAATGAAAATATCTACCCTTGACCACATGGGCCATGTGAACAAAAGAACGGATAAAGGCAACTAATCTGTGTTAAACAATATCTGGAAGCACGATAACAGCATTCTTTCCCTTCACTTTTGTAGAGGGCTCACAGAGAGGTACAGCATGTGTCCTTCAAGTATATCTTCTCAATTTTACATCTAACCATTTCATCGTTTAATATGTGAGGTCAACACTTGAGGCGATTTCTACAACTGTTTTACAAAGTCCCTTTGCACGCACACATGCACACACACACTGGGGTGGGGGAGAGACACTAAATACCCACAACCACATTGTCTAGAATCACATCAACTTTATAACTGCACTCGACTAATTTTTTTATTTACTAGCAGTCTTAATTGGCATTTTAAACTGTGGTCGTCTATGCATTTTTTTTTAACATTGTAAGCCACCCTTAGTTCTGCAAGGTGGAAAGGTTATAAATAAATAAATAAATAATAAATATCAAAGGACCTTAAGGGGCCGAACTACCTATTCCAGACACCAATACCTGCCAACCAGCTGCAATATTCTTTGTTAAACAAGTTACTCCTATCATAGACAGATTTCTTGAGACTTTTATAACTGCTGTGTGTTGCTAAACCTGTTATGCTAACAGCAATGATCATTGCTTTTCAAAATTTGGATCACATCAGCATTTTATCTAGCTTAATATCCCATCCCTCATCACTAGCCTGAAAGGCTTCAAAAACATTCAAAGGAAGCTGAGTTAGACATTCAGTGAGGGTGACGCCAAATAATTTTTTCCACCTCACATAAGCTTCACTTCCAGTATCAAAATTTTTGCATTAGATTTTACCTTGCCTTTACCCAGAAAACTGAAACCAGGTGTGCCATTTAAACCAATAACACAGTTGTTACAACAACTGATTTCTTCTTGAACGTTTATGGCACAGTCTATCTGATTTAGGTTGCAGACATTTACTGAATGTTACAGGAAGGTTCTGGGTAGTAGTAGTGCAAAATCAACATCTCAAAGCTGGTCCAAAACTCACCAGCCTCCCTTCTAAATGGTGAATGGCACTGAAAGCACATCAATTGTTGCATTGGTTCTTCAGATGTGGCTCCGTTCTGTATCCCATCAGAGTGAAAGGTACAAAGGCTAGGAGTGGGACTTTTTCAGACACTGGCATCCAGGCTGTGGAATCCTCTCCCAAAAGAGGCTTCCTAAATCTGACTGCAGATTTTTAGAAAGAAAGCAACATTTTTGTTTAGCCAGGCTTTGGGGGACAATTGATCTGGATGGGTTTGGACCAGTGATCTTTTCTCTGTTTTAGCTCCCTTTGAAGAAAAACTATTGACCTCACAGGGTGGTCATAAGGTCAAGTGAATGATGTCGGATAAAATAATTGGTTACACTGAAGAGATTTTAACCTCCTCTTTGCGCATTCAGTCACGAAACCTCCAGTTTTCAATGCATGCCTGACTAGAGAAAGTGCAATTTTTACTTTTGTTAAATTGCTGCTCCCATATATACAAGGTCACTTCTTTTCATTCTGAATAGACTGTTGAGGGAGATTTTTTTTTTTTTACTCACAGTGGCTAATGTGCAGCAGAATCCACATTCTACCCATAAGTAAAAGCAGAGGGGGAGAAAACCTTGTTGCCTATCATCAAACTGGCAATGTCTACAGCAGGGCAAAAGCATTATGGGCTAATGAATTGGAACTACCACAAATGTAATATTAGAATACAGAAACAGAAGGACAATCATTTTGGATTCATTAATCTCACGCCTAAACATTAATGCATGATTCACCCAATTAAAAGGCACGGATAACAGCTTGCATTTAGGACACCTTGATGCCAATCTACTGGTGGTCCTGGGTAAGCCATCCTCTCTGGTTTCAAACTGCCCAACATGGTAAAGAAAAAACAACAACACACAACCAGTGACCTACCTCACAGCGTTATTATGAAGGCGGGTAAAATAAGAGGCTACCAGCCTGTGAACGTTTATACTCAGAGTAACCCACTTTGATTTCAATAGGACTTACACTCCCGTAAGTGGGCATACAGTCACAGCCTACAACACTTGATATACGAATTATACTGTCGCTCGGCCCATAACTGAGGGTAGATTTTACGTCTCTCCTTCTCTAGTTGGGTCCACCACCAAATACTCTTTCAAGTTCTCTGGCCACCCACAGGCAAGGCGATTCTGAGCAGGGGAACTGTTCCTCTTTTCCACGGCTACCATGACAGTTGAAGGAACTCCCTCCCCCCTCCCGGACTCCCCTTCCCCACAGCGGCACCCAAACTTCTCGGGGGAGCCCCTTGCCCGCTTTTCGCCCCTGCCCTGCTCGCCCGGGCCAATCCAAAGCCCCGAATCTGCAGATGTGCGCTGGCGCCTCCCTGTGCCCGCCACGGGGCCGAGAGGGAGAGGAGAGAGAGAGCGAGCGGAGACGGCCGCCTCCTCTTCGGCGCTGGGAACCAGCTCAGCCTCCTCGGCGAAACCCACCTGCGGCCCATGATGCCGGCCGGGCCGGTGCTCGCTCGCTGCCGCTTCCCCCCACTTGGCTCTTTGGAGCCCGGCCGCGCCTCCCTCCCTCCCGGCGCCGCAGGACCAGGAACTGGCCACTCGCCCCGGCCAAGCCGGGACTTCAGGGCCTCCGCAGCGCCCCCTGCCGGCCCGGAGGCTCCGAGCGGAGGAGTCCGCTGTGGAGAAGCCCGAGGGGGAGAATGGTGGGTGGCAGCAGGCTCCAGCCCAGCCCATCGTGATCGAGGCCGGCTCAAGCAGGAAGCCGGGGCAAAGCGGGGGCTCTACGGGAAGCACCAGGCAGGCTTCAGGCTAAGCCCACCTGAGCTGGGTCGGAGGTGCCCCCCAGTGCGGAGTCAAGAGGCATTCATGGAAGTGTGGTGTAGCGAAGTCAAAAGAAATGGTGCCTGGATGTTCCTTTTCAAATTGAACTACCTTTCCAGTTTATTCTCCCGCAGACTGCAGATGAAAGGCGAGGACTACCTTCAAAGTAGTCTTCATCAGCACGACTAGCTCTGTTTTTAAGAACAAGCCCGTTTGATGCAGCATCTGCCTTAGACAAGGTGGTACCCCGTGCAAAAGGGAAATAATTTGGAAGACGAGCCTACTTTGGAAATCCTGGGTCACTTATGCTTTGCTTCAGATCTGCTTTTAGATTTCTGCTTCGACCTACAACCGTAATCCTACTGCAAAAATAATAATTGAAGTATTTTCAAATTAAGAGGTACACTTTAAATTCTCCAGCCAAAGCAAAGTAAGAAGTTATCCATCCCTCCATAGAAGAGAGACATTTGGTTCTCAATACCATCATTGCCAATGTTTGGTGTAGTGGTTAAGTGCGCGGACTCTAATCTGGGAGAACCGAGTTTGATTCCCCAACTCCTCCACTTGCACCTGCTGGGTGACCTTGGGCAAGCCATAATTCTGGCACAGCTGTTCTTGAAAAAGAGCAGTTTCTGTCAGAGCTCTCTCAGCCCCACCTACCTCACAGGGTGTCTGTTGTGGGGAGGGGAAGGGGTTTGTAAGCCGCTCTGAGACTTCTTTGGGTAGTGAAGGGTGGGGCATAAATCTAATCTCTTCTTCTTCCTTTCAAAACTACCTTAACCACGTAGAAAAATTCTGAAATGATAGGCTGTTAGCTAAAGAGAATCTCCTTGTCTGGAAGCTATATAACTTTAAATGCAAAGTGCTGGGTCCAGAAGTTTATTCTGTTAATGCCTAAATTTTGAATATGCCAGGTTAATATACTACCAGCTGATAAACAATGGGTGAGCATGGGTGCCATATGGCTTGAAAATGGACCAAAGCATCGAACCAGAACCTTTTAAAAAACCTGGGTTTCAATATGATATGTTAAGTCACTATGTTTAACATTTCCTTGCTGAGATTCAGTAGGCATTTTTTGGTTTAGACCCATTTAGGGTCATAAAGAAGTTTGTTTTATTATTATTTTAATCCAGGTCAGCAGGCTTTGCTATAATGGGTGACTTTAGCTCACTTGCTCCCTGCACCACAGCACTTTGGTATGGTCTGTGTTTATGGCACATGATAGCCTGACTAAACTGTAGTCTGTTGGAGTGTTAAGAGTTGCCACTTGTTGAAGGAGGCATAAACTAGATTTATGGGTACCAGCTTCAGCAGAATCTGTAGGCCTGGGCCCACTGCCAGGAGACAGCACACCATGCCTGCATCTGTAGCAGCTGACTGGGGCTTTCCCACCCAGACTGCAAAGAGGCAATTTGCTGGTGCAGGTGAAAGGACAACTTCCTCCTCCTGCTTTGGACTTTCTAGGCAATGCTGAAGAACCAGAGCTTTCCCTCTGTCGTTGCTGCTAAAGGGTGACGCGTGGATGCATGTGACCTTTCTGAAAACAATGTGTAGGCATATGTAGAAGTGTGTGGGCTGCGTCTATTATGTCATTATGTCTGAAAGAAAGCAGGTGACCAACTGGGAGTTGCAGTCATATCTAAATATGGGATGACATTCCACCACACGACAATTCACACACCTCCCACATAGGTGAAGGGTAAAAAGCCCTGACCTGGATAGCCCAGGCTGGTCTGATCTCCTCAGATCTCAGAAGCCAAGCACCCCCAAGAGACCACCAAGGAATTCTGGGGTTGCTATGCAGAGGAAGGCAATGGCAAACCGCCTCTGTTGGTCTCTTGCCTCGAAAACCCTACAGCAGTGGTGGCGAACCTATGGCACGGGTGCCAGGGGTGGCCCCCAGAGCCCTCTCTGTGGGCACGCGTGCCATTGCCCCAGCCAGGCCCAGACCATCATTAAAGTGTCGAATTCTATGCCAAATAATTTTAAGTAAATGAAAGCATTTGTGATTGCTTTCCTTACTATGTTTGGATCATCTTAAGTGAATGTATGAGTTGTTTTTTCTAAAGTAAAACCTCAGTATTCAGGTTAAATTGCCGTGTTGGCACTTTGCGATAAATAAGTGGGTTTTGGGTCACAGTTTGGGCACTCGGTCTCTAAAAGGTTCGCCATCACTGCCCTACAGGGTCACCATAAATCAACTGTGACCAGATGGCAATTTACACACACACACAATTCCAGAGTTTCAAATATGAAACTGGCAATTTGACCCATGAGAGAAAGCATACAGTTGTGAGACATTTCTGCAATAACATGCTGCCTAAATTTAGTTTACCACATAGTCTATAGGTTAAAGGAAGCCCTCATTCAAAGGATCTGAACACAATTACAAAACTCTAAAGTGAAAATGGTCAAGGTCATGTTAAGGCTCAGCTGCTTTAGTGATCATGAGGTATGGCTGGCTAGCATAATGTTCAGATTGTTTCATAATTTTGAAAATTCTGCCCCATATTCTAGTACCCCAAATCTTTAGGAAATATAATAGAATTCCCCATTATAGCGTTTTTAGCTTTTAAAATGTTATCAAGTAAGCCCTGCATAAGCCTTGTTTAATCTTAATATCATCAAGCCATGTTTGTTCAGAGGAACTCGCCGGTTCTTAAAATGAGGCATCCATGATATCCAATGGCATTGTAGAGCTGCAGAAAAAAGGACCATCTTTATTATGAACACAGAAATTGGGAGCTGTCTACTTCAGTACCGTGTGCTTCATTATACCTCCTCGCAAGAATCCAAAACTAGCTACTTTAACTAATGGGTTATATTGCCTGTTGATTTCATAATGCTATATTAAATGGACTTCAAACTAGACAAGAGAGCATGAAAAGATAGCAGGTGTCATTCAAGAGGTGATTACATTCCTGAATTGTTTGCTTACATTCAAGTAGAATGCCCATAATCTCCCAGGATGTCATTACAGAAAGGAATTTTTTTTAGGACAAACCCCAACATATCCACCCTACCCCGTGTGTCTTTGTGGACAGAGAGAATAAAGGAACATGTACAGTGTCTGAGTCACCCTTTAGTCCTGAGTAACCGTTACTCCAAAGGAAGTATATAGTACTGTTAGCTTTTGTTAATGGAGCCTGAAATGGCATAATGCTGGGCTGGATCTCTTCTTCTCGGTGCTTCCATAGATGTCATAGGCCAAGAAGCTCATCACTAAAGCACTAGCAGCTACAGTAGGTACTGGACTATGGGCTTCCCAAGTATTTTAAACTGCACCTCTTCCACGGTCACCTGAAGTCAGTGGCAATAAAGGCACCAGAACATCCTACTCCTGCACATTTTCTGAGGGTTTGTTACATTGTAGGATGGCTCTGACGGAATTACAGGAAGGAGCTGCAGTTAAGAGCAACCACAAGGTGGCAGCACATTTTAAAACATAAGCCGAGCCCAGAGTTTATGAAGTCACTTTTTTAAAAAAAGTTTGCTCTTCTTGCAAACTTCCCCTTCTCAACAATCCAAATTCCCACTGCTGTTCTCATGCATCACTCCCCATGTGTTGTGGTTCAGGCCTGACCTACACGTGTCTTGCTATCTCAGCTGAAAGCCTTTCCTAAATACATTGAACAAAGGATTTTATTAGTTGGAAACTATGCTACTATAAATGGTCTCCGTTGAGGGCCAGCCATACTATTCGGCTGACAAAGTAAGCAGACTTGCCCAGCTGAAAAAACATTTATTTTGTTATTGGGAAACAAAATGAAACATGGGAGGAGGAAGGTAGACAAAGCAAAGGTCTCAATTAAGTCGAACAAAATACACACACAGGAAAAACGATCAAGTAGAGAATGATGCAGATTAAGGTGCCGCTGCTGCTCCTAAACCCACCCTTTTAAAAACAAAGTAAACCTAAAACAGGGAAGGAAGAAGAGAAAGCCTCTCCCTAAAGTATCCCAGCTGATTGTGCCACCCGGGACTTGCCAGGTCACAAACAGCCGCTCCCAGGCAGCAATAGGAGGAGGGAGAGAGCTGGGAATTTCCCCAGCCCAGCAAAGTAAGTGTTGAATGTAAGCAACGCCTGTTCCTTTGTCTGCTGACCCAAAATGCTTCACTCATCCGCTGCAACAAGTCTAGAGAGAGAGAGAGAGGAAGAGTGTACAGTACAGTCTCTTGGTAGAGCACAGTAACCTTCAACATGGAAATCAATACTGGACTCAGTGATTCTGCATCTCCTCACTTTGCTGGTCCCTATTTCCAAACCACTCTGTTGAAATTTCTTGGAACAGGTGGCTTTGCGGCCACTCATCCTACAATTTAGGAGAGAGAGAGAAGCAAGAGGAATGGATTACTCACAGGCTGTCAAGTCCCAGAAAAAGTTCTTTTCAAATGTGAAGAGGACGCAGGAAGCTGTTTCAATGACATAAGCTTCTCCCACTAGGATTGCAAAAGAGGCGAGAGCCTTCTTGTGACACAGCTATTAAAAAGCTACTTTTCAACATGAAGACGAGCAGTACTCCAGGAGGGGAGCCAATATCCCCTGATGAAGTGGGACAGATCCTGGCGTTTCCTTATTTCAGGAGCTAAGCTCCAACTGCAAGCAGGAATTCAGTCTGCCAGCATTTCTTCGCCTGGGGGACGTATGGCATTTATAGTGCAGCAATTAAATAGAGAAGTTGGCACTTCAGGATAAACTAGCAAACCTGAACAGAACTGAAACAGAGCAGCATATCTCCCTGAGTCTGACCCCCCAAAATAACAATTATTCCCAGGCAGAAGTGGTGAATGGCACATTTCTCTCTCCATGAACTCAGCCTTCAAGGTCTCTTCAAGTTCTGCATCTTCTGGGCAGAACTAAAGGCAAGCTCCTGTCCTGGTGATGTTCGCAGTGGGGTCTCTTCCACGGGAGGCAGCAGGTAGGCTAAAGTGAAAGAAAGGGCTATTGTGCAGCCCTCAACACCACAGACATACAAGCCAGAATAACAATGCAGACTACAGTGGCCACTGAAGGAAATGCATGAGACCTAAGCAATAGCAGCTAGGTCAGGAAACTCTTCTTGTATCTGAAAAACAAACACCATCAGCTGTATTGACTTGAGACCGACAAATTCCTATCGTAGGCTTCTGAGGGAAGCAGAGCTCATTTGCCATCTCTATTCACTGCACAGTCTAAGGGGGAGGGGGGAGGAATCAAGACACCTCTCCAGAATCTCTGGCCTTTGGGCCAAAGCAGGTAAAGCAAACGTAGGCCTGTCTGAGCCTGTGTCCTTCAAAAGGGAGGCAATTCCCTTTCATCTTCCAGGCAATAATGTACAAGGAGCAGAGTTCCTCCAGCAGCAGCTCCCACAGTCCAGTGCACTATCAAGAAGTGTCTGAAGGAGGCACAAAGCCAGTCAGACTCTGCTACAAGCGGATTTATTTTCTGGGAGCCAGCTCTGGTCTGGTCCACCTGTAGCAGCAGTGTTCTGGTCTTCCATCTCCCAAAAAACTGAGGACCTAATTCAAGCCTTAAGATGCTCAACTGGAGCACACCACAGGCTTCCCAGAGATCTTCAGGTCATCAAAGGGCAGGAGAGTAAGTATCTGTGAATGGAAAGGAGAAGAGAATGACAAGATTGGTACTGAAACAGCCCCCCAAAACATGCTAACACACTCATATTACTGTTTCAAATTCACAATGGAAGGACAGAACACAACAGCACAACATTGAAGTGCAGATCTCTCATGTTAGCATAGTACATTCCATGCCCAAGTGGGCATTATCACCAAGTCACTAGCCATAGCTACACATATGGAAGGAAATTACATGGCAGTAATTCCAGAAGAGTAACTGTGGCTGCGGTCACACGCAACATTAGCCACGCAAGAGATACGGAAGACAAGCGGAGTTTCCGGTCGCGATCTCACCAGCACATCTGGGAAGCGTAGTGCTTCCGTGGCACAACTGAGGCTTCCTGCCGAAAAAGCGCAGGAAACTGCGGGGCAAGGGCGGGCGTCTGATCGCGTTTCTGGTGGTATCCGGCGCCCGCCCATGTCCCCTTGCGGAAAAGGTTTTTTTTTCCCCCACGTCTCCGTGGATGCGCACACGCACCCAACGGAGCATGCGCATTCGTAGTGTACACAAAAAAAGAAAACCAGTTCGCCGCGCCGCGCGCTTCTTCATTGCGCGCAGGCGTGTGTTGTGATCGGCACCTCTCCCTTGCCATGGAACCTCCACAGTACCTCCACAGAACCTCCACAGTAGGTCTGATCGCTTTACTGCATGTTAGTTTGCCCCGGGGCAAACAGCCACACTTCTCCTCTGCAGTTTCCTGCCCGTGTGGCAGGGGCCTGTGTTGGTCTGTTGCAGCAAAAACGTTGTTCCAGCACAAGCTTTTGCAGACTAAGCAGAACCACTGCACAGCATCTGACAAAAGCCCAGGTGTAGTTCGTGAAAGCTTCTGGTGGAACAAAGAAGTCTTTGAGGTGCCACTAAACTCCTGCCTACATGGAAGGAGCTTTCTGGGATACCATATATTTTTTCTGATAATGTGGTATCCCATTCCCCAGTACCTACTTTTTGATAATCAGGTATCCCTAGTTAATGTGCCTACACATTTATGTGAGACTTGGGGACTGCCATGTGCAGGAAAAAAACTTTAATTTCAGCCTGATACAAGTACATGCCTATATCTCAAGGACTGGATTCATTGTTACCCCAAATACTCTATAGAGCTGGCTCTCAGTTTCCTTGGGTCACTAACATGGTGCCTCCGAGACCTAGGGATTCTCCAGTTGCCTGCACTGGGTAATTTAGTCGTTTTCTCAAATTCAAACACATTGATTAAACAATCATCACAACAGGAGATATTAATCCCGGTCCTAGCTGCAAGGAGTGCCAATATGATTCATCACATTTGTATCCTTCCTTTCCTTGAAGAAGCTCAAAGGGTTATTCTAGGTTGTTATCCTCAAAGTATCCCTGTGAGGTAGGTCCTCCACAGAGAGAATGACTGGCCCAAGGTCACCCAGTGAACGTCAACGAGTGAATGAGGATCTGTCCCCAGGTCTCCATGGCCACATTCCCTGTACTGAGCCACGTTTCAGGAGTGAGAGGGAAAGAACCTGCTCAGGGGCGTAGCCAGAAAATATTAGTTGGGGGGGGCATTGTGAAATCCTGTGGGGCAGGAGGGTGGGGGAGGGAGAGAGACAAGGGTCTTAAGGAGCGGGAGGCACGCCCGAGGGAGGAGGAGGTGGGCTCCTGGGCAGGAGCCCGGTGGAGCAGGACCCGCTGCGCAAGTACAGCCTGGTGGCCAGCAGCAGCACTTAGTCGCTCAGCTGGAGCCCCCTGAGTGCCACCCACAAGGCGGCAGCCGAGGTAACCACTGAGGTGTTAAAAGCAGCAAACAGCAGCTAGCAAAGCATGGCAGTGGACCCCCCCCCCGGGGGGGGAGTCAGCCATGCCTGGCTGGTCTTCCTCCAGCCTCCCTTGGCAGAGGGAGAATGATGCAACCACCCCCCGGCCTCCCTGGCTTCCAGGGCAGGAAAATAAGGCACGGGAGGGGAGACACTGTGGTGCTGCTACGGCTGCAAGCCCAGTCCCCGCTGGCCCGGGCGCCAGGAGCCCAAGGCGAGCAGTTCACACCACAGAGCTGCCGGTCCTGATCAGTGATCTCCTCCCGCAGAAAGGTGGTGCCTGCCTAGCAGGGGCAGTGGGAGTTGTGAGGCATGTGCCCCTATGTGCCCACTGTGGCTACGCACATGAACCTGTTCCTCAGGCATGTTTGTCTGTGCATTAGCAAGTACAGATTAAGGTGATGGTGGCTTTTGAAATGTGTGGAAATGCAGGATTCGGTTCCATATCAAGGTCTACATTTTCTTTATTATAGTCCTGTTTTACCACTGAATTGTGAAAGCAAGAATAGACCGTTATTGGGTAAAAATTGTTGCCTAATTCTGACCTGACCCCCAGGTAGCTCTGATTTGCTTATATTCATCCACAGTAAGGAAAAGAGGGCAGTTGCCAAACTGCTCCACTGACGCAGATCAGAACGTCTGTGATCTGCCCACACTGAAGGAGCTACAAGTGGTGCCACGGCAGACGCAAGAGTGGCAGCAATGAGGCAGACCAGCCAGTTTAGCAGCTCCTCCCTGCTGGATAAATGCAAGGATAGCAGACTCAGCAGAACTGGAATCTGGCAATCACAGATACACAAAGGGCAGCACGGACCGAAGGGCAACTGAACTCCCTTCACAGCTAGAACTTAAATTCTCATTTATGGAGTGCCTTCTGTTGGCAGACACAAGCCTCTGAAGAACTGCTACACACAGCTTGTATCCCTGCCTTTCTTCCAGATCCAGGGTGTTTCCGCATGCACAAGGGCCACAGAGTGTTTCCGCATGCACAAGGGCCAGCTAAAAATTAACTACTGGATCTAACCTGTAAATTTCTAAATGTGCAAGGCATTTTTCCGATTGGGTCAAAACCGCAATTAAGTGCTACAGATGGCTAGATCATGTGCTATTGTACAACAGTGCTAAACATGTTTTCCTTTTGCAAGATCCAGGACACTGATCTCTGCCCATCCTAATCAGCTTCTTTCTACAGGTCCCCATGTAGTAGCAGCTGCCGCCAGCCGCTAAGCCAAACTCACATCGTCGTTGCCATCAGCCAGGTCCTGGGCGGTCTCGTCCTCCATGTTCCGCAGCAAGGTGTCTGCCCCCGAGTGACAGAGGATGGCAGCAATGGCAGCGTCCTTCCTGCCTACGGCCAGGTGAAGTGGGGTGCAGCCATTGTACATCCGAGCATCAACCTGGGCTCCCATTTGCAGAAGGTGCTTCACAGACATCTCGTCATGGTTCTCCACCGCTAAGTGAAGTGGTGTCTTTCCACTTGTACCATCCTGGAAGCAAGGAGAGCAGAATGACAGCTGATCATACACTCTATTCAGTCTCTCAATCAGAAGGGGTTTGAGTATCTCCGTACCAACATATATGTAAACTGTGGATGTCTGGCGGGAAACACACTGTCATGGGAATTCCTGACCAAACTCATTAAATGGTCTGCCCCTGGAGCTGCGAGGCTGCCCTACGACATCTTTTTGTTCTTGTTCAGTCGCACAGTCAAGTCCGACTCTTCGCGACCCCATGGACCAGATCACGCCAGGCCTTCCGGTCTTCCGCCGTCCTCTGAAGTTTGCTCAACTTCATGTTTGTTGCATCTATGACACTGACTAACCATCTCATCCTTTGCCTTCTACAACCTACCATTGTTTTTCAATACACCAATGTAATGGGATCTACACCAGGCTATTTATGATCTGGTCAAATTAAATCCAATTTTTTTCCCTAGAAAAGCTGTACTATGTGACTTGGAACAATTTATACAGATCAAGTGGCTTTGTGCATGTTAGTTTGCATAGAAGTTTTCTGATTCTGACTGGACAGGCATAGGAACAAGGAGCTATGCAAAGTTCCAGCCCATTAAGCCCTGCTCAACCCAGTTTCTGCACCTTGAAAATTTACCAGCCATTGCCCACACATTTTCAGTATTAATCTTCATAGACACAATGGGCAGAAACTTTTTTTAAAAGTTAGTGCCGAAAGTTTTCAGCATGCTGACATTTATACATTCAACACAACACCAAATCCTGTACATGTGTCACAAAAGTACAGTACAAATGTTGCCCTGCCATATACAGGATATGGAGCTCTGCCAACTACCCCTTGGGTTCAGCCATACCTGAACATTTATGTCAGCTCCACTCTTCACCAACAGTGCCATCAGCTGCAGATTTCCTTTTAAGGTGCTGATGTGCAGGCAGGTCAAGCCTAAAGAACAAGACAAACCAGGGAGTTGTTAGTGTTTGAGCAGGACTACTCTCTGTGTGGACATACCCTGATCAAACTCTGCTCCTTTCTCACCTTGCCAGTTCTGGAGCTGCAGATTTTGTATGGTTCTCCTGGACTCCAAGGGCTTGCCAAAGACTGGCTCCAGCAGCAGCTGGGCACACTCCAGACTCTGCTGCTCACAGGCCAAGTGTAGTGGGGTGTTTCCGTTGCGGTCTTGTAATGCTGTGTTCACCCCTCTCAAAACTAATTCTTGCACTACATTAGACTGCTCCAGGTACACAGACAGGTGTAGCGGGGTCTACACACAGTGGGGGGAAAAGCAGTTTAGAAGGTAGAAAGAAACAGGGACAGAAATACATTTGTGGGTTTTCTGTGACTGCACCACAAAAGTACAGAATTTGCTAATGGATGCCAAATTCAGCATCCTGGTAGTCTCAAATTTCATGTAAAGAAAGCATGTGAACAATGTCTAGTAAGTCTCAGAAGCCAGAGATAAGAGGCTTTAGTAGAGTGCGCATTTAGTTCAGGGTCATGGCATCAGTTTTCTGCACTGCTTCATGGTCCTTTTCCTGACTAGCAGAAAAATCAAAGGAAAACATAGGTATTTCACTTCATTTTTCCTGGCAAAATTCAGATTATTTTGGTGAAGATACCCCCCCCCCCTTAAGTAACAGATCATACAAAGCTCTGATCAAAGTCAGGGACAGGTGCCAGTTTTCTGTATAACTCTTTGACTGACTGGCAAGGGACGTTGTAATTCCTGCACAACACCTAGCAATTTCAGGCACCTTATAAATATTCTGATCCAGTAATGGGAAAGCGCACAGTTGGAGGCGGGAGTCCACGTGTTCTGCTGAAACATGCCTAGACACAGATGCAAGCGACCCTCTGCCAACAAGTTGGATGAGTCTTTCGGCTCAGAGGAAGCGATGCATCCTCATTTAGACCACCACGTGGCATGCAGCTAAAGCTCAGTTGGCCCAATCACAGCAACTAGGCCCAGACCACAGATATGAGAAGCAGTGAAACACATCTCGAGGAAAGCCTCCCAGATCAGCAGGATAACAGTTCTATGTGCACTCCTTGTTTGACAAGATGGCAGCAAGAAGCACAAGGAACATGTTTATATAGTCCCTCAAAGAAACACTAGCTTGCTGACCTACATCTTCACCATCTAGCAGAGCCTTTTTTCTTTCACTCAAGTAGAAGAAGCAGTGAGGCCACACATACACACGCACACATGCACACACCTGGAATAAGTCATTCTGGATCTCCAAGACCTCCATTGGCAAATGGGCAATGCAGCAGAGTGCTATAGAAGGCATGCAGTGGATGACTGCCAGGTGCAGTAGCCTGTAAGGAGGGGAAAAGGCATTAGTCTGTGGTGCAGCATCCAAGTAATATCAACCCTACTATTCTTAAAAACACTTAAAAAAACACAACACACCTGAAGAACAATTCATTCATTCATTCAACTTTCTATCCCGCTCACCCCCCTAAGGGGCTCTGAGCGGCTTACAATTCTAAATTCCGAACAATCCTAATCTAGGGCCACATGTAAGTTGGGAAGGTGAAATTCCTACCAGGCACCCTTGTTCTGTAGCAGATCTTCTTCCTTGCGAGGGCAAGTCTTTACCTAGCCCCTCGTTTGTACATCTCCATTGGAACAGGTCATTAACACAGTTGCTTGGAACTCAATTAGACTTCCACATACAAACAGTAGTTATGCCTCTTCCTGAGCAGTTTTGCATCCTGACACTTTTTCACAGGATGGGCAGGACCAGCACACACTCTATGTGGCAAAGGGATTTGCCGCTTGCAGTTAGCCAACCATGCACCTGCAAACGTTCTGAGGGCAAAATTAATAGCAGCCGATGTCCCACGAGCTTAATACAGACCTATCCTCGCATGCCAATCATAATTCTGCCAGGACTCAAATTTTGGAATCTATGCCAAAGGTGGACCCAGAAGGAAAGCCAGGACCAATTTTGATTTCTTCTTAAGAACAGGAGACTTCTGCTTTCCTAGAGCAAGGCAAGCAAACCTCGAGGCCCAAATCTTCACTAACCCTAGTCCAACCAGGACTGGCAAGAGGAGAAGATGGCACCACTGAATCATTTCGGAAGGGAAACAACTGAGCCACCGACCAAGGCACAGTAATAGCTGCATTCTAGGATTCAGAGCTTATTCCGACACCCCTCTCAGCACACAACAGCTGTGGTTATCTCAGTGGCCATCTTCTTGCTTTCAATGTGCCACTGAAGCACTCAAAAGTTGCAGCCGAGCTCTGATCGTGTGTTAAAAGCCCATCTATGCTGACTTCAGCCTGTAGTATTGGCTTCCATATAAAAGCCCCCAGTGAGTAGGGCCTAGAATTTCAGATCTCTCAATCAGGATTTCTGACACAGGATAAAGAGCAGAAAGCAAGGTCCAGACGGCAAAATCACCCCCACAATGCCCAAGTACCTGCTGTCTACTAAAGGGAGGGTTCCCAGCCTACAGGCAGGGCCTGGAATTCTCCAAAAAGTACTAGTCTCCAAACTACAAAGATTAATTGCCCTGGAGAAAATGACAGCTTCAAAGGGCAAACTGTATGGTATACCATAGATTCTAGGTAGAATCCCTCCCCAAATTCTCCCCTCCACAGGCATCATCCCCAAATCCCCAGGCATTTTCCAGGATGGAGTTGGCAACTGTAGAGGCAAACACAAGTGCTCTCAACAGCCTTGGGATTAAAAAGTAGGCAAATTAATACGGATATACTGATATACAAATAAAGCCTCATTTTACAGGCGTTTCTACACAATTAAGGATTCACCTTAATAAGATTATTAAATCCATTTTGTATCCATAATCCTGAAGGAACACTATAATTTCTTTACGTTCCCCCTCTAATTTCAAGCCACCATTCAAAAAAATCAACTACAGCCACAGTGGAAGCAAATTCAAGTCACAGGAGCTTTGATGCAAGACATGAAACATTATATTGAACATTCACCAAGGACAAAAAAAGATAACTTCCTAATTGTCATGGCTGTGGAAGTTAATGTTCTACATGTGCACTAGAGGCTTTGTAAAGGAAGGGGAGAAATAGCTCAATTAAAAAAAAAAAAGGATTTCCATATAATATTGAAAATGGGGACTCATTGGCTGCCCTCCTCATTGGCTGTTCCCTTGCTCGAAAGCCAGTCGAATCCGACTCTAGGGTTGCGGTGCTCATCTCTGTTTCAAAGCCGAAGAGCCAGCGCTGTCCGAAGACGTTTCCGTGGTCATGTGGCCGGCATGGCTAAACACCAAGGCGCACGGAACGCTGTTACCTCCCCACCGAAGTGGTCCCTATTTATCTACTTGCAATTTCTTGCTTTCGAACTGCTAGGTTGGCAGGAGCTGGAACTAGAGACGGGAGCTCACTCCGTCATGCGGCACACTCGGGTCTCGAACTGCTGAACTACTGACCTTCCACAGCCTGCAGTTCAGTGTCTTAACCACTTGAGCCATCGCAGCTGGTAGGGGTCTCTAATTGCCAAGTCATTCAAAATTACAATTAATTTTAAAACAAGTCTTTAAACTCGGAGAATCCTTGAAACAGGACATTATGAACCACTTCTACATCCCATGTCTGTCTATAAAGGGGATTTCCAAGGAAGCAAAAGGAAGGGATGTGGGAGGCAGTACTGACAGGCCTTGGAAAGAAGGGGATGGTGGGAAAGGAGAACTCTGAACACAGGCCCACCACTGCCCAAGGCTCTATAACACAGATCAGGGCTGTTGCTACAGGAAGTTGTGGCCCCATGAGCGATTTGGAAACTTTTACCCAGGCCACTGAAATCATAACAGCAAAACTTCATAGCACAGAGATCTGCACACTCCTGCAGCCCAGACAGAAGAGTGTCTGTGGCTCAGCAAGCAGGCTAGGCCCTACTAGGGGAAGCCCGAGGTCACATGGGCATGGGGAATTTCCCTACCCATCAAAGCAGTGGCCACCCACAGTTGCCTCAGCAACAGGTGGGGGAGGGCCAAGGAACCTCAGGCACAGCTGCCACAGCCAGCACAAGCCGCTGAACACAGTTTAACTCTGCTAGGCCAAGGCAGACGGGGAAACGCATTCAACTAGGGAGAAGCAGGCTGGGCTGTTCCTGGGGCCCGTTTTCACTGTCTGGTCCCTTTGTTTCTATAGGGCCGCATCATACATATCTCTTACCTGGGTGTTCCACTGAATTCAACCATCTAGGGTTTACTAGCCCTGACCTGGACGGCCCAGGTTAGCCTGACCTCATCAGATCTCGGAAGCTAAGCAGAGGTAACCCTAGCAAGTATGTCGATGGAAGACCTCCAAGGAAGTCCAGGGTCGCTGTGCAGAGGCAGGCAATGGCAAACGACCTCTGAATGTCCCTTGCCTTGAAAAGTCTATGGGGTGGCCATAAGTCAGCTGTGACTTGATGGCACTTTCCACCACCACCAGGTTTTACTGGCATGTAGTTGTCACCAGGGCTCTTTTTGTAGAAAAAGCTCAGCAGGAGCTCATTAGCATAATAGGCCACACCCAACAGCATATTAGGCCACACCCCATGCCTTCCCTTGGCTTGCCCGGGCAATTTCCCCCCCTTGAAGGGAAGGGAAGGCAGTTTAAACCCCCTTAGCGTGCCCGCCTCGGAGTCGCCGGGTGGGGGGTCACTCTCCAGGCCTTCCCTCTGTAGCCAGGCACACAGAGGTTTTGGCTGTAGTGAGCATGGCCAACTCTGAAGCCAGCCGGAACTCCGTTCCTGTGCGTTCCTGCCCAAAAATAGCCCTGGTTGTCACCTTTTTTACTGGTCCAGCTCCTATGCTTTCAAGGGGGACATTCAGCAGGTGAAGCATTCTGGTTGGCACGGAGATGGAAGTGGTGGGAAGGTTTACCCATTAAATGTCTGTGTATTCAGCTGATGTTGAAGACACAGGAGCACAGTCAGGTTTTTGGTTTTGTTTTGGTTTTTTTTGCTTTTTTAAAGTTAGCAACCCTGCTTCTGAATAAGCACTTCAAAACTGGGCTGCATAGTGTGGTTAAAGTATAATGTCGGGGGGGGGTCTGCCCCTCTAGCTGTTTGTACAATATAGTGTTAACCGACTTTTGGTACGTATCGTGTAAAATGCTGCGAGTTGATTCTCTTTGTAGGAGCTGCATAAAAACTACACAGATCCATGGAGGTCTTCCTGAAACTGGAGCCAGCAAGCATGATAACAGTAGAGAGATTTATGTTAATGGGGGGGGGGATCGGGGACAAAATTTCCATGGATATATTTGTCCTATCTGTGCTCCTCCCTGCCTTTATAGCTCTGTTCTTCATTCAAATTATAATGCTGACCAGAGTACTTGTAAACGTGAAACCTCCAGCTCTGAGCTGGAGGCATCCAATTGTGAGGCATCCTTCTGCTGTTGAAAGGAGTTCGCCTGTGTGCTGGTCAGTTTCACCTTCATTATAGACCTCTTAAGGAAGGTCGATTGCCCTAAACCAGTTTTGCAAACTACATTACAAAAGTCCCTACACCACACAAGGCCACCTGCCTACCCTTTCCTACATTTCTCATTTGACAGTCTTTCAGAAAATATAGGAAAAGGATTACTATTTACCCCCCCCCAAAAAAAAACCCAACACCTTCTCCAGGGTCATTCTCAAACACTACCAGGCAAGTCACTGTTTACAAACCCACCCCAAACAAACTGCTCAATGCAAACCATTTTAAAAGCCACAGCTCAGCTTTCCTTAAAGAATTTGCAAACCTCACAGTAGGACTTTGCAAGACCTTAGGATAAGAAGGATCTAGTTGCTCAGAAACAGTACATCCCTAGCTAGCTCCTGAATTGGCTCCTCCCCCAGCGAGCAAGCACAAAAGCCTAGACAACAACCTACACAGTTGGTGACGTCTTAGATTTCTTGTTGAACTTGAAAGCATGGTGATATAAAATACCTTATTTTATATAATATTCCTAAATATATCATCAACTGGGATAGGTTTATCTTTAATTTTCTTATGATGGCTGCAGCAGTGACCAAGAGGCAGAAGACTCAAATTTATGATAGGAACTTAAAATTCACAATGGCCAGTAGTTTCCAAGAGGTAACTGTGACTTGAGAGACGTTTTGCTTCCTGAGTTGTATAAACTTTTTAAAAAACCCTTCTGTCACACCTGGTCATACAGGTTTGGCATATTTTTTTAAGCAGCGCCAAAACCCTGCAAACCTGCTTAACAGAGGTGAACACAGGATCTGTAGATACAAGTAGTGATGCCTCTTTTAAATTGCCTTAAATCCTCTTTAAGAAAGCCTGTATCCACCCAAAATCTCCAGGTTGGAAAGAATGGGCTACAATAACAA